GGGAGCTCCAGTCATTTGGTGGGGGTATTTGGCCCTGACTACGTGGGGGTGCTGCAACTGTAAGTGATTAGTGTACATATGTTTGTAAATACTTCTGTCTACCACCTCATTTTTTTTTGTCACTGTAAATATTTCACTCTGCACTTGGAGCTGTGGTGCGAATAAAAACCCACTTAAGTGAAGTTTTTGACTGAGCCATCATTTTTACATTTATTTCGGACGAACCCGTGACAATACACCTTAATTTCTGGACTATTGAACGCACCTGAATATTAACCACATCAACTAAACTCTAAATAATTCTAAATAAACACGTATTTAGGCCCATCCATTCCATCCATTTTCTTCCCCTTATCTGGGGCTGGGTCGCAGGAGCATCAGTCTAAGCAGGGACTCCCAGACTTCCTTCACCCTGGACACTTCCTCCAGCTCCTTCAGAGGGACCCCAAGATGTTCCCAGGCCAGCCCAGAGACATAGTCCCTCCAGCGTGTCCTGGGTCTTCCCTGGGGTCTCCTTCCAGTGGGACATGCCGGGACGACCTCCTGAGGGAGGCGCCCAGGAGACATCAGAACAGATGCCCGAGCCACCTGAACTGGCTCCTCTCCACATGGAGGAGCAGCGACTCTATTCCGAGCTCCTCCCATGTGATTGAGCTCCTCACTCTTTCTCTGCGGGAGCGCCCAGCCACCCTGCAGAGGAAACTCATTTGGACGCATGTATTCATGATCTTGTCTTTTCAGTCATTACCCAGAGCTCATGACCAGAGGTGAGGGGAGGAACAAAGATCGACGGTAAATCGAGAGCTTCGCCTTTTGACTCAGCTCCCTCTTCACCACAACGGTCTGATACAGCGACCACATCACTACCGATGCTGCACCGATCCACCTGTCAATCTCACGCTCCTCCCCTCACTCGAGAACAAGACCCCGAGATACTTAAACTCCTCCACTTGAGGCAGGGATTTTCCACCCACCCGGAGACGACAAGACGCCTTTTTCCGGTCGAGAAAAAGGTGGCTTTCCCTCTCCATATATAAATAATTAATGAATTCATATTGTTTTTATTTTTAATTAATCATTGCATTTATATAGCGCCTTTCAAGATACCCAAAGTGCTTTACAGTTCATTATTCATTCACTCGATTCTCAGTGGTGGTAAACGACAACTGTAGCCACAGCTGCCCCTCCAACCACACACCATCACTCACACACACCACTTCTATACTAGGCAATGTGGGTGAAGTGTCTAGCCTAAGGACACAACGACAGTATTTTGTGACTGGTGCCCCACTGTGGCTCCTGGAATTCCCAGTGTCTCCATCCAAGTCCTGACCAGGTCCGGTCCTGCTGAGCTTCTGAGACCTGATGGGATCAGGCTTTGACAAGCTGGTATGGACACACCTGAATATAAGCCTCGGGTGTCCATGCCTTGAAGAACTTTTTCAAGTTGGGGCCGTCTGCTTTTATCGCCTCTGAAAGTTTTTGTCATTTTTTTTAACAATGAGTCAGTTCGTCACGCTGCCATCGCCAAAATCTCACCATCGACTCATGGAGGCCGAGCTCAAGTGCAGCAGCTGTTTCCTTCTTCACCAGTCACATCGATCACCATTAACTTAAAGGTTGTATGGAGGATTTTTTTTGTTTCAAATTGTCAATGATAGATTATAGAGATGCAGTCGCCTTGTAATTATGATGACCAAAAAAAAGAGAATAAAAATTCATCAACTCTGGACGTGGTGGGGCTAAACATTTGCCAATAGATAACGACACTGCCTCGTTATCTGTGAGCTGACAGGCTGTCAATCAAACTCCCTACGTTTCTAGTGTAACTGACTTGCCTGCGCCGCCGGTACGTGGTTTACGTACGACTGTCACACAGTCCACAGACGCAAGACGCACAGACGCTGTTTACTCCACCAACGCAACAGTTCTTAGCGGCTTTTTTTGACCTATATCTTCCTCGCAGTTCGCACAAAGTTTGTTGCAATGGCAACAAGAATCCAGGAGCAGTTCGCCGCAAAAGAAAGTCCGTTTTTGAGGTCGCTGAAAGAAGAAGACAAGGGGAAAAGCAGCGAAGCCAAACTAAGGTGATTCTTGAAGATTCATTCCAGCGATGGCGCGACTGAAGCAGACGCAGGGTCTAAAGACTGACGCACTGGTCCACAAATTACTCCTGGACAGGAAACTTCTGCTTATTATGAAAACGTACTTTATTTCCAAGAGCTACACAAACGTTTTTCAGGACACGAAAGCGATATCCTATGTCTGAAAACGTAATTTTCAAGGCAAAGAAAGAGTCCGCTTGCTGCTGCGTGTTGTAGCTAGTTCATTCGCACTGAATCTCCGCGCAACCTTCTCTGCACCCCTTTCCTGCTCCTGTCCCCGCTGCCCGATCCACTCTTCCCCCTGCTCCTCACTTCTCCGGGCACAGAATCTCCGCGCACCGCTCCCTCTCCTCTCTCCTCTCTCCTCTCCCCCCGCTCCTCACTTCTCCGTCTTGCCTAACCAACACTGTAGTTAGTTGTTTACAAGTCATGTGCACCGGCTGTAAACAAACCTGTTTCTGGCGTAAAGGAGGAGGCGGGAGGAGGCGTTTCTACGTAGGAGCTGTAGGGGAGGGGGGTGGTTTCACGCATGCGCAACATTTGAAAAAGGACAAACAGCTGCTGGATTTCTCGTTCCTTGGAAAATCCTCTATACAACCTTTAAAAGCTGCATCATCTGTATTTCTTCGTGTGTTTTCCATGAAGAGGGTGTGTGAACGAAGCGCAAAATAACTGTTCAAAACACAATCAAATTAGTATCTTCCTCGTTACATCACCCCGTCTCTCCTCGTACGTATGAATGGACAATGCCCCAAAGAAATAATCCGTCCATATATTCACTGCATCGTTGTATAAGTCGCAGGGTTCAAAGTGTGAGAAAAAAGTAGCGGCTTATCGTCCGGAAAATACAGCTCTGAGAATGAGACAAACTTGAATGTGTCTCTGTCTGCAGGTGAAAGGCTCGTGTGCTACGTTCTGATCTCTGTTATTCTATCAAAATATAATCTAAAATACATCTTCACTAGAAGTCATTTGGATGATTTCAGCCTTGGAACTGCCAACCTCTGCTGCACTAAAGCTAAAAAGAGCTGTTAACGTGAGAACTACAACATTATAACATGGCTAAAAGTTCACAAGAGTCAATTTTGCAGATAATAGGGCAAAAACGCAACACACTGACAACCAACGTTCAGATGTGATTATAATAGATTTTTAAAACAGCAGGAATCAGGCTGTGTACAGTTCAGTTTAAACACACACAGAACCATTCTCTTTGGGAAATGGATTAATCTCAATTTAATTTCTATATTCTATCCCAAACATATGAGCAGTGTTGGGGAGTAACAGATTACATGTACCAGAGTTACGTAATCAGAGTACAAATGATGAGTAACTGTATTCGGTTACAGTTAATGTTGCAGTGAGTGGTAAATTGGATTACAGTTACTTTGTTGAAATAAATGGATTACACAGCTGTATTTTCCGGTTTTCCTGTTTTCCCCCACCCCCTTTTTTTTTTTTTTGTAATTCTACTTATTGCCGGAAGCTAAACCAGGTCTAAACCAGGACTAAAACCAGGTCTAAACCAGGACTAAAACCAGGTTTAAACCAGGACTAAAACAATATTTAACAGGACTAAATGATTCTGTGTGGACGTGTCTCCTCTTCTTCTATCAATAATATTTTTTATTTGGTTCAGTAAAATCTGGGCTTTTTATTTTCTTTTATCAGACAAAACATCTTATGTGAAGATTTCCTCGTCTTTGTTTCTCTACAGCAAATCAAGTAATCCAAAGTATTCAGATTATGTTACTCGCTTAGTAAAGTAATTTAATGGATTTACGTTACAAACTACATTTTGGTGTATGTAATCTGTAATCTGTAGGGGAATACATTTTAAAAGTCACCTTCCCAACACTGAATATGAGTAAATGTGTAATACACCGTCAGGACGTGAGTGTAAACGCCATCTCCAGAGCCCTCTGCTGGACAAACTACAAAAGTGCAAGTGCTTCTTTCCAAACTTGAGAACCCGAGTTAATTTACTACTTTTTTATTGTTTACTTTTATATATATATATATAAAAGTAAACAATAAAAAAGTAGTAAATTAACTGCATTAAAATATAAATATGTATTGATATTTTTGTATAAGAATTTTTACTTTTTCAATATGACAGACAAGATTAAACCAAAAACTGGTTTAGTCCTGGTTTATCTCTGGATCAATCTGGATTAAATAAATCTGAGTCTAGTTTAGTCCTGGTTTAGTCCTGGATTAATCCTTGTTTAGTTTTAGACCTAAAAACAAGTGATTTCTTTTAGTCCTGGTTTAGTTCTGGTTTAGTCCTGGTTTAGTTCTGGTTTAGTCCTGGTTTAGTCCTGGTTTAGTTCTGGATTAGTCCTTGTTTAGTTTTAGACCTTAAAACTGGTGACTTCTTTTAGTCCTGGTTTAGTCCTGTTTAGTCCTGGTTTAGTCCTGGTTTAGTCCTGGTTTAGTCCTGGTTTAGTCCTGGTTTAGTCCTGGTTTAGTCCTGGTTTAGTCCTGTTTAGTTCTGGTTTAGTCCTGGTTTAGTCCTGGATTAATCCTAGTTTAGTTTTAGACCTTGTTTAGTTTTAAAACATGTGATTTCTTTTAGTCTTGGTTTAGTTCTGGATTAATCCTAATTTACTTTTAGTCAAGGATTAAAACTCATGACTTATTTTAGTCCTGGTTTAGTCCTGGTTCCTGAATTAATCCTTGTTTAGTTTTAGACCTTGAAACTCATGACTTCTTTTAGTCCGAGTTTAGTTCTGGTTTAGTTCTGGATTAGACCTGATCTTAGTTTAGACCTGTAGTTTAAACTGGTGATTTTGAGTCCTGGTTTAGTTCTGATTTTCTCAGTTTTCACCTTTTCTTTCTCCGTGACCTTTGGTTTAATCCTGGCCTACATTAGCACACATTATCATACATTACCTCCACAAGGTCACCTCCACCACGAGCTCATTTTCTTCAGGTTCCTTCAGGATTTTTTTTCGTTGAAGGTTCCTTGGGTTTCACCTGGAGCAGGATCCCGGGAGAAGAACAGCTCACGGGGACGGAGAAGGAGGACGATCAGAGGAGACCAGGAACTGAACACTGAACCAAACATCTGGATCTAAAATGGAGAGACTTTTATTTATTTGAGGTTGAGAAGACGACAAAAGGAGATGTTTTGGTGAGTATAGAATATAGAGTAGGAGATGAAGCAGTTTGAAGAGGATTGTTGGAGGTTCTAGATCAGGGGTGGGCAAACTTTCTGGCTCGCGGGCCACATAGGGTCCTAAAGTTTGACTGAAGGGCCGGACAGAAGACAGGACATAACGTGTTAAGAGCTCAGATTCATTACGTTCTTATTCACATTTATCTAGGACTTCAGACGCGGGCTACACGTTTCATCACTGCTGTGAAAGATTCAGAACATAAAACTGTTGAGACGTGTTCCACTGCACAACACGAGTGAGAATGTACATCATGAGTTCACCGTTTTCAAATATGACTGATAACAGCTCAAAAACAGAGCTCACGCCAAACAACCACAGATATTCAACTGTGAGTGTGATACAACCTGCCTCCAAAATGTTGTACACTTTAATAATTACAACTCAGAGACACAGGTTTCCTTGATTGATATTATCAACTCAAAATGGAAGCAGTGCATCTTATATCTTAAGCACCAACTACTTCACTCATGGTCCGAATAACTCCTGTAAGAACACTTTACCATAAAGCATTGCGGCCAACATACAGTGAACCCTCGTTTATCGCGGGGGATACGTTCCAAAAATAACCCGCAATAGGTGAAATCCACGAAGTAGTCAGCTTTATTTTTTACTGTGATTTTACAATGCAATACTGAACTGCAGAATGAAACAAAAAAATAAAACCTCTTTTCAGGCCCAACATGTGTTAAAGAAATGAAATATTAACGTTTTCTTACAAATCTATAATAGTTTAAAGAACGGTGTTGTAAAACAATATTTTTATATAGTAATGAATACAAGGTAGGAAACATTGTCACTCGCGTATTTCACAGTCCCTCCAGCTGCGCCTCTTCGTCCTGACTCCGTTGCGCTGTAGCATCTTTTTCTACTGAAGGCTGCGCAGTCTTTCTCCGAGAGAAGAACATCGTTATGGGTAGTTGTTGGCCTCTTTCTTTTTCTGAGCAAGAAGATTTTTATAAACGGACATCCCACCTTCAATTATATTTGAGAACTGCAATGAACGACACATCAAAGGGTCCCATTCTTGTGCCGCGCGCTGAAGTTCAGTGGCCATTCTCATCAAACCTCATCAAAAACCAATATAAACCTTTTTCACTTCTAGACAACAGTAACGCCCCTAAGCCAATCAAGATTCACTGTAAAAAATAAAGCACTGTAAAAAATTCCACGAAGCAGCGAGGCCGCGATAGGTGAAGCGCGATATAGCGAACACTGTAATACGCCGCAACTCATTGTATATATAGTGCGCCATCTACTGGGAAACGCTGGAAATGCATGACAAATAAAACATCAACAAGGTTTATTATTGTAATTTATTCCAGTTCGGCGGCCGGATTAAAAGGTTTAAAGGGCCACATACGGCCCCCGGGCCATAGTTTGCCCACCCCTGTTCTAGATTCTTAAAGGCTCCATATTATGCATTTTTTTTATCTACTGTGGATCAATTTTGGCTTCTGTACTTTAAATTTTACTGTAGATACTTTTGATTTTTACGTCACTACATTTTAGATCTTCGCTGAAAAGTAAAAAGTATTTTTCTTTACGGTTTGAGACCTGCTGGACTGACGGACACTTATTTTTTTTAGCACATTTAGTTTGAGTTTCTGAGTTTCTCCGAGCAAATCAAATACACCAAAACACAACAGTTACTAGAAGAACTGAATTATTTAAAATCGACCTTCCTCTGATTTTAACAGTGTTGGGAAGGTGACTTTTAAAATGTAATCCCCTACAGATTACAGATTACATACACCAAAATGTAGTTTGTAACATAATCCATTAAATTACTTAAAGTGAGTAAAGTAATCTGAATACTTTAGATTACTTGGTTTGCTGTAGAGAAGCAAAGACGAGGAAATCGTAACATGAGATTGTTTTGTCTGATAAGAGAAAATAAAAAGGGACTGAGACCGAGACCAGACCAGGACTGAGACCAGGACTGAGACCAGGACCAGACCGGGACCAAACCGGGACTGAGACCGATACTGAGACCGATACTGAGCTCGGGACTGAGACCAGAACTGAGCCCACAACTGAGACCGGGACTGAGACCGGGACCAGACTGGGACTGAGCTCAGGACTGAGACCAGAACTGAGCCCACAACTGAGACCGGGACTGAGACTGGGACCAGAACGGGACCGAGACTGGGACCGAGACTGGGACTGAGACCGGGACTGAGACTGGGACCAGAACGGGACCGAGACCGGGACCGAGACTGGGACCGAGACCGGGACCGGGACCGAGACCGGGACTGACAACGGGACCGGGACCGGGATTGAGACCAGGACTGAGACTGGGACTGAGACCGGGACCAGACCGGGATTGAGACCGGGACTGAGACCGGGACCAGACCAGGACTGAGACCGGGACTGAGACCGGGACCAGACCGGGACTGAGACCAGATCTGAGACCGGGACTGAGACCGGGACCAGACCGGGATTGAGACCGGGACCAGACCAGGACTGAGACCGGGACTGAGACCGGGACCAGACCGGGACTGAGACCGGGACTGAGACCGGAACTGAGACCGGGACTGAGACCGAGACTGAGACCGGGACTGAGGTCGGAACCAGACCAGAACTGAGACCAGAACTGAGACCAGGACTGAGACCACAGTTTAAATCACAGAAATAGGAAACTGCTGTCTGGTTTATAATAATGAAGTAAATTGTTGTTTTTCATTTTCTTATTTTTGGTTTTAATTTGAAAAAAAAAAATATATATATAATATATATATATATAATATATATATATATATTACGAATGATACACGGATTATTTAGTTTTCAGACTTCATATTCTTGGTTCATGTTTTCACTTATTTTCCCATCACTGACTGCAGATGCATCGTCCAACCACCAGGTGTCAGTAGAAACATAATTCTACTCGTGGTGATTACAGTAAACAGACCCTGTTCACGGAGACTCTGTAGTTCCTCTTCTCTCAAAAACCACTGATCCTGCTCCATTTATCATGTTTATGTTAATCGGCCGAGTCATGTTCAAATAAATCATACACTTTGGTTTTTAAGCTTCAGTTTTATTTATTTATTTTAAGTGTTTTATTTCTATTTACAGTGTTGGGAAGGTGACTTTTAAAACATATTCCCCTACAGATTACAGATTACACACCCCAAAATGTAGTTTGTAACATAATCCATTAAATTACTTAAATTAATTAGACCTGGTTTTGGACCTGGTTTAGGCCTGGTTTAGGCCTGGTTTAGTCCTGGTTTAGATCTGATTTAGACCTGGTTTTAGACCTGGTTTAGTCCTAGTTTAGACCAGGTTTAGATCTAGTTTAGAGCTGGTTTAGACCTGGTTTAGTCCTGGTTTAGACCTGGTTTAGTCCTAGTTTAGACCTGGTTTTAGACCTGGTTTAGATCTAGTTTAGAGCTGGTTTAGACCTGGTTTTAGTCCTGGTTTAGTCCTGGTTTAGTCTTGGTTTAGTCCTGGTTTAGACCTGGTTTAGTCCTAGTTTAGACCTGGTTTTAGACCTGGTTTTAGACCTGGTTTAGTCCTAGTTTAGACCCAGTTTAGATCTAGTTCAGACGTGGTTTAGACCTGGTTTTAGTCCTGGTTTAGACCTGGTTTTGTCCTGGTTTAGATCTGGTTTAGGCCCGGTTTAGTGTCCGGCAATGAGTGGAATTACTGAAAAAAAAAGTGTTTCAAAATGTGAAAACAGGAAAATACCACCGTGTAATCCATTTATTTCAACAAAGTAACTGTAATATATCTTAAAATTAAATAATAAAATAACTGTAATTACCACTCACTTAAACAGTAACTGTAACTGAATACAGTTACTCATAATTTGTACTCTGATTACATAACTCTGGTACATGTAATCTGTTACTCCCCAACACTGAATATTAACAAATCACATATTTGTTGTAATTTTTTGTGTTTCATGTGTTATTTTTATTGAAAATTCACATTGTTAATTTGAACAGAATATTCACTGAAAGAAACTAAAAAATAATAATAATTGACACTTAAAGGTTGTTATAAGGATTTTCCAAGGAACGAGAAATCCAGCGACTGTTTGTCCTTTTTCAAATGTTGCGCATGCGTGAAACCACCCCCCCTCCCCTACAGCTCCCTACGTAGAAACGCCTTCTCCCGCCTCCTCACTACGCCAGAAACAGGTTTGTTTACAGCCGGTGAGCTGCACATGACTTGTAAACAACTAACTACAGTGTTGGTTAGGCAAGCGGAGAAGTGAGGAGCGGGGGGAGCGGGTGTGCGGACATTTCGTTCGCGGACGAGAAGTGAGGAGCAGGGAGAAGAGCGGAGCAGGAGAGAGAGAGAGGAGAGAGGAGAGGGGAGCGGTGCGCGGAGATTCCGTGCCCGTAGAAGTGAGGAGAAGGGGGAAGAGCGGAACGGCAGCGGGACAGGAGTAGGAAAGGGGAGCAGAGAAGGTTGCGCGGAGATTCAGTGCGAATGAACTAGCTACAACACGCAGCAGCAAGCGGACTCTTTCTTTGCCTTGAAAATTACGTTTTCAGACATAGGATATCGCTTTCGTGTCCTGAAAAACGTTTGACTAGCTCTTGGAAATAAAGTACGTTTTCATAATAAGCAGAAGTTACCTGTCCAGGAGTAATTTGGCGACCAATGCGTCAGTCTTTAGACCCTGCGTCTGCTTCAGTCGCGCCATCGCTGGAATGAATCTACAAGAATCACCTTAGTTTGGCTTCGCTGCTTTTCCCCTTGTCTTCTTCTTTCAGCGACCTCAAAAACGGACTTTCTTTTGCGGCTAACTGCTCCTGATTCTTGTCTGCCATTGCAACAAACTTTGTGCTAACTGCGAGGAAGATTAGGTCAAAAAAAGCCGCTAAGAACTGTTGCATTGGTGGAGTAAACAGCGTCTGTGCGTCTTGCGTCTGTGGAC